AACTGATGGTTGGTTACCTGTGTGGGCAATAATTACGAACATAGTCTGAAATGTTTGCATTGAAGTGGTGGCGGCTGACAGAATTCCTCGTATAATCCACAGAGTCCACAGGTCAAAGTTTGGCCAAACGTCGCTTAGTAAAGACACTGCCCTGGCAGAAGGAGGCTACGGATGAAGATGAGATGATGGATACAATGAAAAAAATCTCACCGGCACCAAATTCATCTTAGTGATTACACCATTGGAACCTCATTTGCCAGTAAAAAATATGATAATTGTTTTTTTACCCTTTAATCTGGCAACAAAACTGACACCTTTTTTACGATAATGTATACATTATCAGAGTTGTGTTTTTTTGCATTATGACTGCAGGTATTGTGGTCTATGCAAACATGACTCCTCGTAAAAAAGGTGTCAGTTTTGTTGACAGATAAAAGGGTAAAAAAACAGTTATCTCATCTTAGTGATGTTTCATCGGTACACTCAGAAGAATATGTATACCAGAGGTGGGACAAAGTCATTGTTATGCAAGTCCAAGTTGAGTCTGAAGTCATCAAATTCATGACTCGAGTCTGACTCGAGTCCAAGTCACATGACTCGAGTCCACACCAGTCAGAGGTGGGACAAAGTCATTGTTATGCAAGTCCAAGTCGAGTCTGAAGTCATCAAATTCATGACTCGAGTCTGACTCGAGTCCAAGTCACATGACTCGAGTCCACACCTCTGATGTATACCCAGGGCAGTTATTGAAGGTAAACCAAGATTCAACTGGCAGAATAAAGAGGCGAATGAGAGAACGTTAGATTGCTTTTGGGAAATGGAACTTAATAATGAAAAGCATTTTGTATTTTATTTTTCTTGCTGTGGATTTCACACCTGATGACGATTGCTTGTGTTGCAGTCGAAACGTCGTGATAATTTCTATTGTTTTATATTTTTATTATTTTATTATTTCCCTTCTACGTGACTTTACCGAAAGAACCAAGAATATGAATCCCTGCAGTCACGAAAGCTTTCAATCGAAAAGCAACATACCAACGCGCCTAGAGACGAAAGCTTTCAAGCAGTGTGCGCCATCTGCTATGACATACGGATCAGAGGCATGGACAAGGATGAAGACGGGCGAACAAAAGCTCACAAGTTCACGAATAAAATATGCTTGGGCGTGAGACACTTGGGAAACTAACAGAGAAACACATGGATTAGCCATACTTCGCAAGTACGGACCATCATGCCGACGTCACGGGCATCTTTTGCATCAACCGCGAAGCAGACGGCGCGTATTGTTTTAGTTAATACAGTTGTACCCGCATTGAATACGATACATTCCCACTCTGCAATGTTCTGTAACTGCCATCACTGGCGACTGCCGTGGGCTGTGGCCGTCTTTGTAACATACCTGCTTAACTCAATAGGGCCTTAGCAGCTGAAAGAAAGTCTAAAAGAGTCCAAATCTAAATACAGTACAGTACTTCAATAAGACACGTAACCTCCTCCCTCCTCCACTTACTCATCACCCACGCGCCACTCCACTGGCCCCTGCGGGTTTTCCGTGCGCCACCAATTTAATTACTCACCGGCCACCACTGGGAGTAAGTGATACCTGAACCCGTCCTGGGACTCTCCTCCACCGACCAGCGTGGTTAAATACATGGCGAACCCCACGACCGATTATTATGAATGATTGTAAAGATGTCACATTCGTTGCCATATCTCTATATATCCTGGATATACTGTGTATATATAAAAGAAACTCTACACATTTGTCAACAATGTGGCTTTAAAAGAAAAATATGTTGGTGACGTTTCAGGCAATGCCCCTATTTAATCGCACATACAAACAGAGGCCAGAGATACGGAATGAATAAGGCTTGTAGAATGCACTTAACTCCATGGGGCCTGATGAGAATTACACGTTTATCTCTATTCCGTGCTCCAGACACAAAATATAAAATGACACTCCAAATGCACAACACCACTCGGCATTCTCATGACCATCATCCATGGTCAATCCACTGCTAGATCAAGGCCGCTCCAAGCTGTTGCTATCTCTCACATTTCTACAAGCTAAGAATCCACTTAGCATATGCACACCGGGCTAATTTCATCATTCCATCTCCTTGGCCACCACTTCATCATTATACTTCCATCTGCCTTCATCCCTTATAGATAGAACGCATTACTAAGCAGGTAACATGACGTGTTTGACTCTTGTTGCAGAGGTTTGCAATTTGAACTTGGCAGGTAGCCCTGGAAAAGACGGTGGGTGTATTAACCATAAATACAAGCCATATGCTTCATTAGCGACGTTAAAGAGCACCTGACGTCATTCAAAGATGTGGAAGCCATTGTTTGCTGGCATCATGATCCAAAATAAACCCAAAAGCTCGGAAATTACAAAATTTGAAACCCAGAGCAATCGTTGCCCCTCCTGTGGACACTTAGCATGACCCTCCTGAAAAAAGTTTTGAGACTCAGGCTTTTTGGGTAAATAAGTGTAACACATAACATCCATTCTGGTGATGGGGACAGCCTCGTTTGATCATTGGCAGTGTGAATAGTTTGTTCTCCCGGTGGGCATAGTCTATTCTGCTGCATTGTCCTGTAAATCTACTGGCTTCCCTTGACCGTGAGGGACGGGCGGGTTATTTTTAAAGCAACCACATGTCTGGGTGGCTCAACCAGGACGCAAACGCAGCTTTTTTAATATTGATGACCCACGCCGTTCTTGCAAATGAGACTTATCCTGGTCTCTTGAGTTCTCATCAGATAGTAAACTCGACACTTGGATTTGAAACAGCGAGTGGCCTCCTTGCCGTATGTGCGTTGAATTTCTTTCGATAGGCCCTCCGTATCTCGAGTGGAGCAAAAGGCCGGCAAAATTTCGAAATCTGGAGACAAAATCCAGATTCGAACCGGGACAGACTTTCTGAACAACCAAGACCTTCGATAGCTTTACGTTACTTGAAAGGATGAACTTGGTGTTTCACATCACTTAACGGAACGCTTTTCAGAACGAAGGTTCTCATATATGAAGTTGTCCAAACTGATTCAACACCTGGCTCGGCGATCGCCATTGGTCAGCACGGTTGGCTACGTACGGCGTGAAAAAAGTTCAACATATACTAATAGGGTAATAGGGTTTTCCCCCTTTTTTCTGGCAACAAAACTGACACCTTTTGCAAGGAATCATGTTTACATTAACCACAATACTTGCAGTCAAATGCAAAAAAAAAATACTTTGATAATTTATGCATTGTCCTTGAAACTGATTGGTCCACACCAGAGACAGCTTTCTTTAGATTAGTCTCATATGGCGTTCGACCAGATGACGCCAAAAGGCGCACAGTTCAAAGACAACGCCTTTTGGCTTCATCTGGTCGAACACCATATGAGACTAGGCTCCAAAGAAAGCTGTCTTTGGTGTGGACCAATCAGTTTCAAGGACAATGCATAAATTATCAGAGTATTATATTCTTAGGTTTTTTCGGTTAAGTCACCTTTGACTTAACCGAAAAAAACCTAAGAATATGAATCTTTGCAGTCACGAAAGCTTCAAATCTAATATCAGAGTATTGGTTTTTTTTCATTTGACTGCCAAGTATTGTGGTTAATGTTAACATGATTCCTTGCAAAAGGTGTCAGTTTTTGTTGCCAGGAAAAAGGGGAAAAACCCCTATTAGTATATTTTGGTACTGGCAAAGGAGGTCCCATGATGAAGTTCAACATACATACACGCTAGTACGTAGTTTATGGTGAAAATATGTTAAATTTTTCTTGCAATTTTTTTTTACCGATATGGATATTGTATGCCTTCATGATTATGGTCGAAAACCGGGAGGAAATCGATGCAGAACAGTGGGGGGGATTGGAGGGGGAGAGAACATACCCCCCCACCCCCCACCCACTCAGAATCGAACCCAGGCTCTTCTTGCTTTGATGCACAAGTCATGCCGCCCACAAGGTGACCATACTTCACCACTATGGTCTCTTCTCTCCGTGTGGTGGCTTGGTGACAAAACCGGCCGAGGCGCGCGACCCGAGCTCGCGCACGCACTGACTCGCGTCACGTGACCCATCGCCCCCTCCCCCTCCACCCGCCCCCTCCATTCGCCCACCTCCAAAAACAAAGGTCCCCCGTGTAGCCTGTGAACAGACTGGTGGGAGGCAAGTGCAGTTCGCGAGTAGCCAACAATCTATGAAGGTCGGCACGGGGGTAGCCCAGCACCACGTCCGCCTTTGTCTTCCCGATTTTTTTTTTAAAGAGACCCCACCAGGTAACGAATTTGAGGCTGAGTCGACCTCGGGGGAGGCACAGGACCGGTGCAGATAATCGTCGCTGGTGCCGTGAGCGGGAATCGAACTCGGAGTCGCCCGGGTTCGTAGCGAGGTGCGCTCACCGCTACGTCACCGCCCCCTCCCAAACTCACCCGCCCCCTCCCCCCAAACTCAACCGCCCCTCCCCCCAAACTCACACGCCCCTCCCCCCAAACTCACCCCCCCCACTCACTCCCCCCCCCAACTCACCTTCCCCCCCAAACTCACCCGCCCCTCCCCCCCAACTCACCCGCCTCCTCCCCCCAAACTCACCCGCCCCTCCCCCCAAACTCACCCGCCCCTCCCCCCAAACTCACCCGCCCCTCCCCCCACTCACCCCCCCCACTCACCCGCCCCTTCCCCCCCAACTCACCCGCCCCTGCCCCCAACTCCCCCCCCCACTCACCCCCCCACTCACCCGCCCCTCCCCCCAAACTCACCCGTCTCCTCCCCCCAAACTCACCCGCCCCTCCCCCCAAACTCACCCGCCCCTCCCCCCAGTTCACCCGCCCCTCCCCCCAAACTCACCCTCCCCCCACCCCTCCCGCTCACCCGCCCCTCCCCCCTAAACTGACCCCCCCACTCACCCCCACCCCTCCCGATCACCCGCCCCCTCCCGCGCATGCGCAGTGCGCGGCTCATCGGCCAAGGTGGGCGAGCCGCGCGCGCTGTAGGAGGCGGTGGCGGCGGGGGGGGGTTGGGGCACGCAGATCGTCGTCGTCGTCGTCCCTTTAAAACATTGTTTTATTTCTCTCTCGCTCGCTCGTTACATCTTACTCTCAGCATCATCAGCATCGCGATTATTACTATTATCGTCGCGGCACCACTCGGCGTGCTCTCAACTTAACGCGGCTCAGCAGCATCATCATCGGCACCGACTCTCGCTGCTGCTGCTGCCCCGCGTGAAGCTGGGACCGGCCGCGCTACGGACGCAGGGAGCGGCGGCGGCGGCCAGGAGAAGTGGTGGTGAGTGGTGGTGGTGAGTGGGTGGTGGTGAGTGAGTGGTGGTGAGTGGTGGTGAGTGAGTGGTGGTGGTGAGTGGTGGTGGTGAGTGGTGGTGGTGAGTGAGTGGTGGTGAGTGGTGGTGGTGAGTGGTGGTGGTGAGTGGTGGTGGTGAGTGGTGGTGGTGAGTGGTGGTGGTGAGTGGTGGTGGTGAGTGAGTGGTGAGTGGTGGTGAGTGAGTGGTGGTGGTGAGTGAGTGGTGGTGGTGAGTGGTGGTGGTGAGTGAGTGGTGAGTGGTGGTGAGTGAGTGGTGGTGGTGAGTGGTGGTGAGTGGTGGTGGTGAGTGGTGGTGAGTGAGTGGTGAGTGGTGGTGGTGAGTGGTGGTGGTGAGTGAGTGGTGAGTGGTGGTGGTGAGTGGTAGTGGTGGTGGTGGTGAGTGGTGGTGGTGGTGAGTGGTGGTGAGTGGTGGTGGTGAGCGGCGGCGGCCGGGAGGAGTGGTGGTGAGTGGTGGTCGTGAGTGGTGGTGGTGAGTGGTGGTGAGTGGTGGTGGTGGTGAGTGGTGGTGGTGAGTGAGTGGTGGTGAGTGGTGGTGGTGAGCGGCGGCGGCCAGGAGGAGTGGTGGTGAGTGGTGGTGGTGAGTGAGTGGTGAGTGGTGGTGGTGAGTGGTGGTGGTGAGTGGTGGTGGTGAGTGAGTGGTGGTGGTGAGTGGTGGTGGTGAGTGAGTGGTGAGTGGTGGTGAGTGAGTGGTGGTGGTGGTGGTGAGTGGTGGTGGTGAGTGAGTGGTGAGTGGTGGTGAGTGAGTGGTGGTGGTGAGTGGTGGTGGTGAGTGAGTGGTGAGTGGTGGTGAGTGGTGGTGGTGAGTGGTGGTGGTGGTGGTGAGTGGTGGTGAGTGGTGGTGGTGAATGAGTGGTGGTGAGTGGTGGTGGTGGGTGGTGGTGAGTGAGTGAGTGGTGGTGAGTGGTGGTGGTGAGTGGTGGTGGTGAATGAGTGGTGGTGAGTGGTGGTGGTGGGTGGTGGTGAGTGAGTGAGTGGTGGTGAGTGGTGGTGGTGAGTGAGTGGTGGTGAGTGGTGGTGGTGAGTGAGTGGTGGTGGTGGTGGTGAGTGGTGGTGGTGAGTGAGTGGTGGTGAGTGAGTGGTGGTGGTGAGTGGTGGTGATTGGTGAGTGGTGGTGGTGAGTGAGTGGTGGTGGTGAGTGAGTGGTGGTGAGTGGTGGTGGTGAGTGAGTGGTGGTGGTGAGTGAGTGGTGGTGGTGAGTGGTGGTGAGTGAGTGGTGGTGGTGGTGAGTGGTGGTGGTGGTGGTGGTGAGTGGTGGTGGTGGTGAGTGAGTGAGTGGTGGTGGTGAGTGAGTGGTGGTGGTGGTGAGTGAGTGGTGGTGAGTGAGTGGTGGTGGTGAGTGAGTGGTGGTGGTGGTGAGTGGTGGTGGTGGTGAGTGAGTGGTGGTGGTGGTGAGTGTGGTGGTGGTGAGTGGTGGTGGGTGGTGAGTGAGTGGTGGTGGTGAGTGAGTGGTGGTGGTGAGTGAGTGGTGGTGGTGGTGAGTGGTGGTGGTGAGTGAGTGGTGGTGGTGAGTGGTGGTGGTGAGTGAGTGTACCTGGAAGGTGTGGTGGTGAGTGGTGGTGGTGAGTGAGTGGTGGTGAGTGAGTGGTGGTGAGTGGCGAGTGGTGGTGGTGAGTGAGTGGTGAGTGGTGGTGAGTGGTGGTGGTGAGTGAGTGGTGGTGGTGAGTGGTGGTGAGTGGTGGTGGTGAGTGGTGGTGAGTGAGTGGTGGTGAGTGAGTGGTGGTGGTGGTGAGTGAGTGGTGGTGGTAGTGAGTGGTGGTGGTGAGTGGTGGTGGTGAGTGATGGTGAGTGGTGGATGGTGAGTGGTGGTGGTGGTGAGTGGTGGTGGTGAGTGAGTGAGTGGTGGTGGTGCGTGGTGGTGGTGGTGCGTGGTGGTGGTGAGTGGGTGGTGGTGAGTGGTGGTGAGTGAGTGGTGGTGAGTGGGTGGTGGTGAGTGGGTGGTGGTGGTGAGTGGTGGTGGTGAGTGGTGGTGGTGAGTGAGTGGTGAGTGGTGGTGGTAAGTGAGTGGTGGTGGTAAGTGAGTGGTGGTGGTGAGTGGTGGTGGTGGTGAGTGGTGGTGAGTGGTGGTGGTGAGTGGTGGTGAGCGAGTGGTGGTGGTGAGTGGTGGTGAGTGGTGGTGGTGAGTGGTGTGGATGAGTGGTGGTGAGTGAGTGGTGGTGGTGAGTGGTGGTGAGTGAGTGGTGGTGGTGAGTGAGTGGTGGTGAGTGGTGGTGGTGAGTGAGTGGTGGTGGTGAGTGGTGGTGGTGGTGAGCGAGTGGTGGTGAGTGAGCGAGTGGTGGTGAGTGGTGGTGGTGAGTGGTGGTGAGTGAGTGAGTGGTGCACGGTGCGAGGCCAAAGTGAAGTTGTCGGGGCAGTGGCGGATGACGGACATTGTGGACGAGGGGCATCATCAGCAGTAACAGGGACGGGGGGGGGCAGCGACCTCGTGCGAAGCTACATATTGAGCAGCACGGGGGGGGGGGGGGTAGAG